ATTGATGCATAATATTTATTCGGCCAAAACTGTGAATTTTTCATTCAAATTTGTAATTTTGTATTAAAAAAAGAGACGTGAAACCATTGTTTATTGAATTTAATAACTGAGATTAATTCATCTATTTTCATTACGGTACCACATTAGGATAAGTTCGTATGAACGACCATTGGTTAACACTTAACAATTGCAAAATGATTGTTCGGTTATGAAAAACAACATACGGCAAATGCAACAAATAAACTCACACACCCTCCTCATATTTGGTGATGTTTGAACCCTTGACTTCCTAAGAGGCCAATGACTACAATACCGCTAGGTCAAAGACCCTTTGGTAAAACAACAGTTTCTTCTCGTTCTGGTTTATCGCTCAGATGGAATACATTATTTGTCGTCCAAGCAACCAAGTTATCTGTTTTTTTGGAAAAATATAATGATATACAACAAAGTTTATATAATATTTTTAGTTCTTATGAGGCTTGAACCCTTAATTTTTAAAAAAATGAATTTTATTGACAAGTCATATACTGCTAAACCAATCATTTTTTTTGTAACAATGAAGTTGTGGATTACAAATATTTTACGACTGTTATCGTTTTTGTATTTTAAAGTTGGACAAATGATGTATAAATGGTTGTTTGTTTACTTCTTAATAGTTCCATTAAGAGACAACATCTGAATCGTTAAGAATTGAATCTTATTTGGCAAAAAAAAAGTATGTCTCTTAATTTCTAAAACCCTCTGAATGATTTTGTATATTGGGTCTCTCTTAACCATTAAGCACCCTAATTCCGTTGTAAATAATTACCAAACAGTTATATTTCATTTTGCACTAAATCATGAGAGTCTCTTAATCATTCTGACCACTTAATCATCATGCACCAAATCATTCAACAACCGCCAAACAACCCTGAAAAATTGCAATTAACTTTCAATTTCTTATATTTTTGTATACTTATATTTTGTAACTTTACATATTAATTTATTTTAATTTAATTTATGAGTCAAAAGTGTTTTTCTTTTAACTTGTATTAATTAATTGCAAAAATACATTGTTATGAAGGAAATAAGTGATTTAGAGGCCATTTACCAAATGCTTATTCGAGTAAGTGCTTACCAAATCACATTACATTATCGGATGAATATGATAAGGACCAATAATCTTATCCGATAAGAGTAAGACAAGGACCAAGAGTCTTACCTAGTAAGTGAGGGCAACGATTTTTACCACGATAAGTGCTTATCGGGTAAATTGTTGCATACAATGCCGTTTTGATTGATTAAAATTTTATCCGGTAAGTAAATGATAATATTAATTTTTGCTGATAAACACTTATCAAATAAGTATCTGGTAAACGGCCTCTTACTTCCCAATAATGGTCCAAAATGGAGCTTGGTGTTATTTGGTTATAACTGCAATTGCCAAATGCTATGAAATGGTTGATGGAAAATCACAGTCAGTGATGTTGATTTTGACATTGAAATAGATATTCTCTTCATAAATAAATATCCATGCCTTAATTTCTTTGCATTTTCTGCTGAATTTCGTGTACGTTTGTTTCATAAACACACTGAATCCCATGGTACCAGTTCCAACTCCGATATATCTTGATGTACCATGTTAGCTCTCATATTTCATTTAATGTAAAAGTATGAAAAAATACTACTGAAAAAATACTACTGCAAGTGTTGACAGAAGAGTTCAGTTAAGATTAATCTAAAAGTGAAGATCTCTTTATACTGTTTTCACCGTAACTTCTATTCTCACCGAAACCCGTCTTTACCGATATATAGGAATTGTGTGTGGTAAATTAAGGGTTAAAAAGAAACAATAAAATTTTATACATAATAGAAAATATAAATGACCAAACTATCCAACGAGTCTTTTTTGTCGTTTCCTTCTTAAGAGGTCAGAGGTTCAAACCTCACATATTGTAAGGAGGGTGTGTGAATTTATTTGTTCTATTTGTCGTATATAAATATTATATACTTAAGCGGATACTACTTCAATCTTAAAATAGTGTTGTTTATTCTACAACTGCTGATGATACCAGACTTTTTTTATCCTCATTTCTTGTCGCCTTTTTTCGTGGTATGGCTACATGTTCGTCTCTGTATACGTATTTCTACAACGTAGACCTTGTGTCCATGTGATTTGGTTGCCCAACATTCAATCCGCCAAACCATAGCACGACATACCGTCATTCCATAAAACTTGAACTTTTATCTTTAACGGGACATGTCAACTACACAAAGTTTGTCTCCGGTTTCTATGACGAACATCCGTTAAAAGCTCTCGTTTTTATGTGAAACTGATGCCAAACGACACAAATCATTCTTGATCTGGAAATTCCGACCTAATTGTGCAGTATTTGAAGATGTTAATCGTTACAACACGTCCGTCCGTTTAGGTATGACGGAATAATGTTTATGTATATTTCAATGTGAAATGCTTCCCTGTAACTTTTGTTTTATATGTAATGAATTGGAAAAACGTGTCATGACTGTAACAAAACTGATTACTAAATATAGAAATAAAATCACCCATTTACCATTTTTTCGTATCATTTTATATATTTTTACTCAAATAACAAAAAAATGTCAAATATATACTCTAAAGAAACTATTATTATTACAACTTTAAATAGTAGAAACATATTTAAAAACTATCAAAAGTTTATCTGTTAGGAGCTTAATAAGTTTAGCGAGCCACGATTTAGTTGGTCAGCTATACATCACTATCTGGCAGTGGTTTAATGATGTAGAAAGTGACTAATTCAATAAGATTCTAAGGAATAGTTTTATGCAAAAAATCAAGGTTTTTCCAACTTTGCTCTCTAAATTAAAAAAAAACACGCTACTTTCATTAATAAAATAACCATCTCAAACAAAAATCTTTTCAGTCTAGACAAACAGATTAATCCATACAAACTAAATTATCGATATAAGACTTAATGAAAAACCAAACGAGAACCGCAAATATTATATGATCACTTATAAAACGCATATATGAACAATCCCATAACATATGATCACAAAGAATCTTCTGGAAACTTCCCCATTTCTACAAATCTTCTTGCTTTTTTTTTTATTCGTAATTGATTTATCAAGAATCTTAAAAAGAATCTGATGTGAATTGCGTTTGTAGTCCAACGGTTAGGATAATTGCCTTCCAAGCAATAGACCCGGGTTCGACTCCCGGCAAACGCATTTTTGTTTGCTTCAATTTTTTTGGGTTATGATTCTAAATTTGTTCTTATACAAATTGGGGGATGTTTCCGTTTTCCGACGGTGATTCCGGTGTCCAGAGCCTTCGTCGCGACGGTTGAGTACTTTCAAAACCTTGAACTTTCAACTGTACATGATCCAAATCATTTTGAGGATTGAAATTTGCGAACCACATTCATGTTGATGTTGGTTTCATCTTGGTGAAGAGATTGAGGCGTTTGATTATATGTTTAGTTAGTTATTAACTGCCCACCAGGTGATCGACGAAAATCTGCACTTATTTACTTTCCATAATTTTCTAAATTGTGCTTGATATTGTTCGGTTATAACTGCATTAGTCGACTGCCCATGAACTGTATGATGAAAAGTCACACTCATGGCTATTGATTTTGGTACTGGTATAGATAAATCTCTGTAGGAAGAAGAATCCATGTGGGTTATTCGTAAGTTGTTCATATTTTTGGTTGTTTGCTTTCCTCTGAAATTTGCGAACACATTTCATGTTGATGTTGTTTTCATCTGGGTGAAGACATGGAGGCGTTTTTGTTATATGTGTAGTTAGTTATTAATTGCCCACCAAGTGCTTGATGAAAATTTGCACTATTTCGGGGTTAGTTTATTTACCTCTTAATAGTTTCCTTAAGAGGGAGGTGAATCATGTTTGGAGAAAAAAAATCTGCCTCTTAATGGTTCTAAAGTTTCTGAATGATTTTGTATCCTGTGTTTCTCTTAACCATTAAGCATCCTAATTTCACTGTAAACAATTACCAAACCATTATATTTCATTTTGCATTATATCATGATAGCCTCTTAATCATTCTGACCACTTAATCGATCTCCACCAAACCATTCAGAAACTGCCAAACAACCCCTTACTTCCCATAATCTTCTACATTCTGCTTGATTTTGTTCGGTTATAACTGCAATAAGTCGTCTGCCCATGAACTGTTTGATGAAAAGTCACGCTCATGGCTATTGATTTTGACACTGGTATAGACTAATATCTCTGTAAGAAGAAGAATCCATGTGGGTTATTCTTAAGTTGTTTATATTTTTGGTTGTTTGCTTTCTTCTGTTTGATGTATGGCATCTTGATGTACCACAAATCAGACTGAATCCCCTGTGTTTCCAACTCCTATTATGCACTTCCATACCATGAAAAAATCTTTTGTAGATTAAAAAAAAAAAAACAAATTGTTACTCTAGTGAAAAAGGTAAAATTGTTCACCAAACCTTTTCTTAATTATCTGAGATATTTAGGTATATAACCTAAAGTGAGACTTTAATTAAATCCATAATACACTTCCTCTGAACCCAAGCTAATTTGAGATTAAAACCTTATCTAGACTCTAGTCTCTAGTCTCATTACCCAAACACTATATTAAGAATCAAAAGAACATGCTAAATAATCAGGAACAGTTGAGTCATTTAGCTAACATATATATTACAAGTGATGAGTTCTTTTTGAAAACTTGTGATGGTCATCTTGTTTTTACAGTCAATATCTTCTTATGCTTGTCATCCTAGTGGTTTTTCTATGGCTCTTTTATGATTCCATATGAAAGTAAAATATTATGCCTTTTGATCTTTTCCGCTACTCTTATGATGGCTTGCTTGTTCTGTGATAGTTTCATCATCATCGTGCTTAGTTGTTTGGTATCATTCAGAAGACTTGTTTAATTTACATGGAGAACAACTTCATCCGAAAATGGTATAAATGTAAACCTTTTTTGTTTTCACTTTTCGCAGGCACTAAATTTATGACAAGTTGACGAATGGGGCATGAAATGGGCACTATCCCTAACCCCAAGATTCATCTTGAGTTGGTTTTTCTTCCTTAAACCCTTTTTGTGGAAGTTGATGCTCCTAACATATTTGGAAGTCACAAAACATACATCTTACTGTTACCTTATCCATCAAACTAGTTGGTGATCCATCACTATATCAACATGTGGTGAATGATAACAATATTCTATTTCTACAGTTGCTGACAAGTTCCCCCTTCCAGGATTAACACACTATCTCCTGACTTAGATCCTTGATGAATGTTGTTCCTACCTATCCCCATCAGAGCCCCATCACTACTTCTTTGATCCTCTCAGTTTTCATTGTATATAAGACCATTTGATGCATTAAAAACCAGTCTTCCAACTCTCTTTGGAGCTCTAGCCAAATGAAGAATCGAAACCTTAATTTTGCTGTGTCTCCATACTCCAGACATTTCATATGTTCTCTTCTCAGTTCTCATAACAAGCTTCTGTCAAAGTCGGCAGATCTTTGCCTCATATTTAGAACAAGTGAAGACATATGCTTCTGAGGCACTGAAGCATGCTTTATGCGAGTTTAAAGGGCCAGATAGACTGGGTCCTTCTAGTGGAAAGCTATGATGACAACATTACCTTTAAAGAGGCGAATCATCCATAGTAAAGATGATAGTGGACTTGTTAAGGAAAGCACAACAGAATTTCTTCTAAAAGAAGGCATGTCATGAACACTGATTTCAATTATCGTAGCAAAGTAATTATCGAAGTTAATGATGATCTTGATGGCATTGATGATCTTATGGGTATTGATTTGTTTCAGTCTGAGATTCCAGTTTGGAGAACAATGATGATGAAGAAGCTACAGGAAGGGAAGGGAAGGGAAGTGTTTGTCTGCCAAAGCTATTTCTGGATTTCCAAACTCAGGACAGTCGGTAATTTAGAACCTTGGTGATGATGCTGGCCGTTTTGAAAGTATTCTTCGGTTTTCGCCTTTTTCGGATATCCAGAAATAGTTATAGAGAAATTGCTTGCATTATTGGTTTGTTGCTGAAATGCACAATTACTAGGTGAGAAACCAAAGTACTATTGCTCATGGGTCAAAGAAGTTCAGGGATTCCAGGGCAAATCCCGCCTTTGTAATTGGCACTCTAATTTAGGATGTAACATAAGCATATTTAGCAGGTTCGTAAAATCACCACAGTAAAGAAAATCTCGGTAATACGAGTAGGATATGTAATACATAGGGAAATCTCTCTATCCGGTAAATTTTCATGGTAATTATTTTGGGATCATGTCTTGTATTTGTATGAGTGCTGATTACTAGATCCCTAATAAATATACCATAGAAAGAAACGTCTCACCATCGTGCGCACCCCTCTCTCTCTTTCCGTTCCGGGCTGCTGGTTCTAGGGTTTCAATGGGTGAGCTTCTCCCTGAAATCCTTGAACAGATACTGGTTAGATTGGATGTGAGGGATATAATCCGATGCAAGAGCGTGTGTAAGGCATGGGAATCTTTCATCTCCGACCCTGATTTTGTTAAAGCGCACCTGAAGCATAGTTACAACAATGATCGCAACGATAATGAAATTGGAGAACGGAGGATCGTTATGGCTAGGTATCCCTATCGCTATAGGGTACGTCAATATGAAGTTGATGACAGGTTCTTCGACTATCATTACTGTCATCTTATTGGTTCTTCCAATGGACTGGTATGCATCTCTATTTTGAATACTGAAATTTTACTAGCCAATCCCTCGATTAGAGAGGTGAAAAAACTGCAAAGGCCCCAAATTCCTCACGTTGGGTCATTATGTTGGGGTTTTGGCTATGATTCATCCGTAGATGATTACAAGGTCATATTAGGGTTCAGGAAAGGTGATGATCTGACCTGTTTTCATGTGTTAACATTGAAATCGAATGAGTGGAAAGTTATTGGAGAAGTGAACTATACCTTTGTTAGTAGGATCGGTATCTTATGCAATGGGGCACTTCACTGGATTATGAAAGGTGGTTCACCTCAAGATGACAGGAAAGTGATTCTTTCTTTTCATATATCTAAAGAGGAATTTATAGAAATCCCACAACCAGATGATGCAAGATTTGAATCTCTTATTGCTGGCCATTTGGCTCTGCGTTTGGGGACTATTGATGAATGTCTATGCATATTTCTCCGTTCATTGCTTCCTCATAACATATGGATAATGAAGAAGTACAATGTAAAGCAGTCTTGGGAAATGGTCGACCATGATTGCGAGATAAAGAATGAAGCTGCACACTGCATGAAAGAGCTGAAGCATTACATTCCACACAAGAGGCCCTTATGTCACAAAACGTGGTTTTGCAAGACCCGGGATTTTATTGGTGCCCCTATATTTGTGCAGAGCCTTGTATCTCCCCATGTTAACAGGAGACCGAAGAGAAAGAGGCTGGTTATGACTAGCACGAGGAGTCGTCGTAGGGTAAGTTCTAATATGATGTCATTTCATTTTCCTTTCTTTTGTCACATGGTATAGACTATTTAGGTACCTCTTTCTTCTTACAAGTGTTTATGATTTATATCCTTGGTAAATTTGTGTTGGTATTGATGTCATTGGCATGCATGTATATATTCATGTTATACTTCCTCTTTTCTTTTATTTTCTTTTGTAACAGATGATTTCTTCACACATACATCATAATCATATGCATATTGTACATTTATCTTATTTGAGCTAGTTCTTTCCCTATTCTATTTGTATGTAGTGTGATCATGCCATCGGTAGGTGGAAAGGTGTATATACTCCCTCCGTCCCAAAATAAACACAATTGAAATGACACAATTTTAGGCATGAATAATTATTACACTTTTTTGTTAACAAATGACATCTTTACCCTTATTCTATTTCTCTTTCTTGACAACTCTTAATTAATTGTGAATTAATTAAGGCTAAATTTGAAAATTTGGTTATTTACTTTTGAAAGTGGACACTTATTTTGAGACAAACATAAATAGAATGTGGACACTTATTTTCGGGCAAACATAAATAGAAATATGGACACTTATTTTGGGATGGTGGGAATATATATAGGGTTAGGTTCCGGTGAGAAGGAGAGTTAAAAGTGAGAAGCGTAAGAAGGGATCTCTACCCTTAGATGCACATTCGGATGAGATGCACCAATATGAGATGCACCAAGATGCATCGAATCAATCCTCGTATCAAGCGCGATTCATGGGTGGGTTTGAGATTAAAGATGATCAAGGCCCAGATCCCTTCTTATGCTTCTCACCTTAAGTCTACTTCTCACATGCCTTCGTTTCTCTCTCTCTCTCTCTCTCTATATATATATATATATATATATATATATATATATATATAAAGTGAGGTTCAGGGGAAAACCCCCCCAAAGAAAATGAAAAACTGACGCACCCCTTAATAACCGTTCATCTGTACAGTATCCACATGTGCATACTAGGAAATTACTTGTATGCACATGTTCATGTGTTACAGATGAATGATTAATAGGGTGTTCCTCAAATTTTCATATTTTTACGGTTTCCCCTGAACCTGACCCTATATATATAGTTATTTTCATAACTGAATGTGAAACTGCTATTTCATGGTTAAGAGTCATGCTCTGTTATTATGTCTACTGTATGTTCTATTTCTTTACTTACCAGTCTTGTGATTGCAACCTAGTGAAGATTAACTCTTCAACATCTTTCAATCCTATCGAACATTATCTCGAGTGTAAGAATATGTGAACCCCATACTCTCCAAAAGAGCCCTTGATGAGAGAATGGAGGTTCCAACGTATATTAAAGAGAAAAGGTCAAAGTCTAGTTGGCATGGGACTTTAACACACCCCTTCCAACAAAGACTAGACAAGCACATATTGTCCCAGAGTGTTGAGAGGGGCTAGATAGGTGTGGGGGCTAGACGAGTACAAATTTCCCTAGAGTGTCTAGTCTTTAAAGTGGTATATATTGGCTCTGTTACGATGTGAGAATATGTGAACTCAATTAGATTACACTCTAAAAGAGCCCTTGAGTAGAGAATGGTCTAAGAGGTTATTTGGTTGGTTTTTCATCAAGTCCTGTATGGATATAGTTGTCTGTGTGGATTAATCTGTCTATATACATTGAAAGGTTTTGTTTATGAGGGCTTTTTCATAAATGAAAGAAATGTGCTCTTTTAATTGGGAGGGGCAGGTTTGGAAAAAAGTTGGCTTTCTGCATAAAGCTCCCTTCTAGAAGCTTATTGAATAAGCCACTTTATATATCATTAAGCCACTACCAAACAGTGATCTATAGCTAACCGAATAAGCTGTGAGTCCCATTAAGCTCATTAAGCTGCTAACAGGCTCTAAGTCTAGCTGATGTGGAATTATAACATTAAGGTTCAAGAATATTATAGATTGATCTGAAGTTCAATATCATTGTCGTTAAACTGTGACAATGAAGCTAGATACAAGAGAATATCTTATTAGTCTATATGCTATTCTCATCTTCTGCAAATGATGATCGTTTTTCTTTGTTTGATTAGACTGATATGTGACACACAAATTAAAGCACTTAATCCTAATGATCATTTGACGATCATCATAGACACAATTTTCCCTTAAATATATAGATTGTAGAAGTGGAATTTGTGATTAATAGTTCTGTTTGTAGAAAGCTTTATCCAATGTATGGCAGCCTTATTTGAAGCGTGTTGCTTATATGATGATAAGCCTGTGAAAACACAGCATGAAGAGCCGGGTAAAGTCCTCTGTGTTAGTTGGAACATAGGTTTGTCCATGGTAGTGGATTTAAAGCTCCTTAGTTGTCGATATTGCTAGTGTTTTTTACTCTATTCACCTTGCTGGTAACTAAGGGATCGTTTACCAAATGCTTACCGGGGAAGTGCTTAGTGGCAAGAGTCACCACCATTTCTTACCTTGTCGGGTAACATTTTCGACCATCAAAATGGAATGTGTGTAAGCTTCTCTTTGGGGCTGTTTGGTTGGTTTTTCATTGAATCTTGTATGGATAAAATTTCTGTGTGGTTTAATCTGTTTGTATAGATAGGGAAGGTCTTTATTTGGGAGGGTTTTCTCATAGATGGAAGAAACGTCTTTTTAAATTGGAAGAGCCAGGCTTGGAAAAAAACTTGGCTTTCTGCATAATGCTCCCCCTAGAAGCTTGCTGAATAAGTCACTTTCTATATCATTAAGCCACTACCAAACAATCATGCATAGCTGACCGAATAAGTGTGAGTCCCATTAAGCTGCTAACAAACATGCCCTTACACGTTAAGTGCTAACCAGGTAAGAGTGTTCTTCCTCACCGGGTAAAAACCTTGGTTTTTACCCTACCTCTTACCGGGTAAGATTCTTGGTTTTTGCCATGCTCACTCAGGCAAGGTAAGTGACCCGGTAAGCGTTTGCTAAACAGCTCCTAAAGGTGGGTTTTGAGTTCTAGCTTCTGTAGTTCACTACCTTCTTAATTTTCAGTATTTGGGTGATGGTAACTTCTGGTTACTATTCATAAATGAATAGGCCATGATTTCTTTAAAAAGAAGCTTCACCGTGAATACATAACTTTTGTTGTGTTTTTAAGCTCTCTCTTTTAAGGTCACTCTACAGAACAAAAACTTCTTGTTTTATGTTTGACGCGATTATTAGGGGCTGTTTGGTTGGCTGTATGAGTGGATTAATCTGTCTGTATAGATTGAGAAGGCTTTTGTTTATTCATAGATGGAAGGAGCGTGCTTTTTAATTGAGAGGGGCAGGTTTGGAAAAACTTGGCATTCTGCATAAAGCTCCCCCCCTAGAAGCTTACTAAATAAGCTCTCTATAACATTAAGTCACTACTAAACAGTCATGTATAGCCCACCAAATAAGTTGTCTCTTTAAGCTCATTAAGCCGCTAACCAACAGGCCCTAACTAGGACAGGAATAAACTTCTTTTTTGTCCCACCAAAGTAGGTCGGATAAAAATCAAGGAGACGAGACAAGATAGGTAAATTACTAAACTACCCATGTTAAATTAGAATCTCAAGACCTTTCACAATTCTTTGACCTGCCTACCTCACTCTTGTCGTCGAGTTTGGTCCGGTCCAATATTGTCTGCGTACCAAACGAACCCTTGGTCTATTCCTTCTTCACGTCTATTAAAATATTGCACATCTACTCACTTCTGATTTTGATTTCTCAGTTCGGGGGAGATCCTTCAGTTCCTGGACCGGTTGCTAGAGTTTGATGCTGTTGAAGCAGTAAAGATGACATGGCAGGGCATTGCTGATGAACTTTGCTTATTTTTAAGACCTTTCTTTAAAGATCCATGCTTTTGTTAGAGACCTGTCTTCCTATCGTTTTTAATAATTCGTGCTTGATGGTTCTGAATAACTCGTGTTTGATGGCTTTGAATCTCTTGTGTTTGATGGATTTCATAACTAGCGTGTTTGTAAACGTGTTTTAAACGTTACTTGGTTGCAATTTATCGTGGTTTTATGGTGTTAATATTGCTTTAGATATCGTAACTTTAGTTTTAACCATCTTGTGTTCAGATTCAGCAAATGTTGAAATCTTGGTGATCTTCATGTCCCAGGTATGTCAAACTAAATCTATACTTAGTTGTTTGAGCATCTCGAACAGATTCTCCAAAGCAGAAAAAAATAGAAAATCTGGAGTTTTTGTCATGTTTTTTTCCGGCTCTCATAGATTCTCTAAAAGTTTCTCCAAAACTATAGAAATTAGAATTCTCCAAATTTTGGAGAACTCTCCAAAATTTGTTATGAGGAGGGGAAAATGTATTTTAAAGTTGAATGTATAGAGAGTTAGGTTTATACGAGAACAATAACCAAATAAAAGAATAAGAAAACGGTCGAATCACATGTGATTTTACACTAGAATCAAATGCGACTTTAGATTAGAATCACATGTGATTTTACACTAGAATCACATGTGATTTTACACTAGAATCACTAGAAAATCACATGTGATTACGCGACCCACGTGGCCGCACGCCCTTGTGTTGATGTTAGTGTAAAATCACATGTGAATATGTGATTTTGCCTGCGATTTGACTTTTACGTATCCTTTTATCTGGTTATATATACATATATATAATTTATTTGAAAGTTTTTGTGGTATTAAATGCATTGAATATTTTGATAATATAGTTAATGGAAATCTATAAAATGGAGAAACTGAGAAATTATTGGAGTTGGATGTAATTTTATTTTTGAAGGTGTATGATGAATCTGCTTGAAATGCCCTAACCATCTTACTTCTTGGCTTGGGGGATGAATCAAAAGAACTTCTTTATATGCAATATCTTGTTATTATTAGTAGTTTGTAAGGTAGTGTTTGATATGCAAACAAGATCATACTAGACAAGACAAGTTATATGTTTCATGTTCGGTATGACCAGGATTGGACAAAATTCTGTCCCATGTTGCATCCGACCAACGTGGGACAATGAGTTTCATCACAATTTAGGTGTGATAATCGATTGGTTCGGCTAGGGTTAGATCTATTCCTTGATTTGGGTGTGATAATCATGTGATCATGCAACAAGGTATCAACTACGAATCGAGTTTTACATGAGATGGTTCATATTTGGGTTCGACAACATTAGGTGTAATAATCATGTGATAATGCAACCGGTTATACGATTCGAATAGGAGGTTATTTTCTTGAAAATAATCCTACGCTTGAGCTCAAGTCGAGCTTCAATAATATTTTCAAAATACTGCTTGAGCTCAAATTCGATGCTCATTTAACCAAATTTGGGTTACCTGAATTTTCAAACTTCATATGTTTGTTTACAGGCTTCAACTCTTGGTCGATAAACTCGATCTCAATTGGATCGTCTAAAACCTCGAAAAAGTTTGTTTATGTAGCACACATTTATAAAAGCAATTGTTCTTATTAGAACCTATTTTTTGTACTTTCTCAAGGTAATTTTTTTTTTTTATAAGAACTCCGTTTGTCGGAGATGTCGGAAGAACCTCTCTTGTTGGAGATACTATTTGATTTTTAAAAAATGACAAATTGCATAAAAAAGTAACGTACTTTAACTTGATTCATATTTTGAGTAATGTACTTTTAAAACTTTCGTTTTGTTACCTAAGATGTAAAGTTTTAAACAATTAAGTACTCGGGTAACCGGTTGAAACATTAACCGGTTAAACATGTTGAACAATTAACCGGTTAGATTAAGATATCAATGTTAGCAAATAATACCGAGTTGGTTACCACATCACTCGCTGCATCAGTATAGTAACCATTAGTGTTTTAACTGGTTACTTGGGTATTTAAATGTTTAAAAATTTATATTTTAGATACCAAAATGAATTTTTTAAAAGTACATTACTTAAAATAGGAAACAGGTTATTTTTTTATGTAATTTTTCCCTAAGATATGATTGTACAGCTTCTTGCCAAGTGCGTAAGTATTATGTAAAGAACACTACAAAAATGGACATATTGCGTTTGTAGTCCAACGGTTAGGATAATTGCCTTCCAAGCAATAGACCCGGGTTCGACTCCCGGCAAACGCATTTGTTATCTTCTTTTTTTCTTACAGATTCCATCGCCATGGATACAGTTATTTTTTCTACTTAAGATTTTCCCCAAGGAATCGTTTGATAACCTGGTACGTGACATTTTTTGGATATGGTTTGGGTGGAAGAATTAGGGATAGTTTCGTGTTTCCGGCCAGCGGTTTCGATTCTTTTGGGATACCTGTAAGGCTGTAAGTAATTCAAACACTATTTTACGGTCGAAGTCTGACTTTCAGTAATCAAGACTCCATATAAAATTAGTTTTATGTTATGTTGATCCAGATGTTGTATGTTACGGGTGCCATTGATGAACTGCAGGACAAGTGTTTGATGAAAATCCCCACTCACTTACTTTGGATATACTCTACTATGTCTGTTGTCCATAGCTTTATATAAGTTAAGTGTCTTAATTCTGCCTAATCGTCTATACATATTCTGCTGAATTTTGTTTTCCTTTGTTTCATGTATGGAGTGTTGGAGAATTTGTTAGTGATATAGAAGAGAGAAAACACTTGCTCTGCATATTCTATTGAAGACGAAACTTAGCCTATAAACAGGAGATACAACCTATCTAAGGAAAACACTTAAAAAGGGTCTGTTTACCAAATGCTTAACGGTTGAGCATGACAAAGACCAAGAAACTTACCCGGTAAGAGGCATGTCAAGATCTGACAAGCACCGAGAATCTTAGCCAGTAAGTGAGGTGGAGATTCTTACCCAGTTAGCGGTTATCGTGAATGAGAAGCTTACCAAAAATCCATTTTGTTGGCCAAGAATCTTACCGGTAAGGTAAGTGAGGGTGGGGATTCTGGGCTGTAAGTGCTTACCCAATAAGAAGAGAAGAGTATCATCTCCAACACCCCCCCCTTCATTTGACTTTGGACAGCCCAAGTTTTGCATAAAAGTCTTCATATTAAGCTCTTGATGAACGGATATGCAATGCAATTTGAATCTGTTGATCAGTTTCGCATCCTTCTGACACGACTTCTCTTTTGCTTAGTAAGTCACAAATAAAATGATGCTTAATTTCTATATGCTTAGTTCTGCTGTGAAAGACTGAATTTTTAGCCAACATCATAATAGATTTACCGTCATAGCAAAGAAAAGTGGCTTCACCAAGGAGTAAAGAGATTATTTTAAGAAGTCATCCGGCTTGTTAAAAATTTTGTGGAGAAGGTTTTGAAAAAAAAAATTGGGGATCTTAAGCGACCCCAAAGAAATGTCTGAGAAAATGAAGAATTGAAGAGTTAATGGAGGGCTAGAGACTAAAGTTGGGAAAGGAAGAGATGCTTGGGAAAGCAGAACAAGGAAGCGTGATAAACAACATAAAAAATAATCTATGCAAGGACGATAGAAGCATAAGGGGAAGTGCGAAGCTGGTAAACAACCGTAGAGCAGTAAAACAGTATAACTAGTTGATGTAAGAAATGCATGTGGCCTATTTAATTGTTCCTCCCTCTAAGGCAATTCACCCTTACAGTATTATACGGCTGCGTTTGGTACTTGGGACAGGACAAGACGGGACAAAACTCACAGTCCCACGTTTGGCATGTCATGGGACAGGACAAGAACTCACTATCCCACGTTTGGCGCGACATGGGACAGGGACAGGGACAAGAATTGGGACAAGGTGGGATAACGTGAGACAAAAAGGCTTTCTTCTCATTACAGCTCCTTGAAGCTGATCAACTTTGGCCATGATCTCTAGCTTTACCCCAATTCAGGACCCACAAATTCAAGACTGTTGATATGTCTCAAAGCAATGCACATATGCAGGTGTCAGGGACTTTGATCTGACCAGCTTCACACTATTCCTGAAGTCCAACCTCTTTCGCTGGTAGCAGGCAATCCAAAATTCTAGCATTTGACCGGTCAATGTGAGGAAACATGATGAAGTATTTTTTATTATGTCAAGATAGATGATGTGTGCTGTGTTACAAGCCCAAGCTCATTAATAGGATGCATATTCTAGAAGGGGTAGTTTTGGTATTAAGTCTGTTGATAAATAGGAGTGAGGTGGGAGAGTGGATGTATAAAGAAAATTGTTGAGTTTGTCCTTGGGAGAGTCTAGCCTCTAGAATAGCTAGTTTCCTATCATTTTCTTGTTAATTGAAGCATCTGGCTACTGTTTCTTTCCCATTGCTTTTATTTTAATTGTTCAGTCTATCTAGTTCATAACAGACACCAAGAAAAAAGGTTGCTGCAAAAGAACCCATCAAGGCAAAGAGAAGGACCTTTATGTGGTGATGGAAGAAGTCAAGGACGATGCTTAACAAGCATATGCTCGCTGGTAAAATTACACATCTAAGAAATGAGTTTGGGTTTGCCAAATGAGTTGAAAGTTATACTGGTGGGGACCCAGAACTGGTCTATTCGAGTTTGGAGGGCCAGTTGTCTGTGTTTATCCAGTGGAGGGATATGATGACAACAGTATAGTTTTAAAACAAGGATGAATTATCAATACTGGATTTTGATAGGAAGGGATAAGACTTAGGCCAGAAAGAAGGAATGCCATTAACTGTCATTTCAAATATGGAAATCAAGTAATTATCAAAGATCTTGATGATACTAATAATCTTATTGTTTGTTGATTTGTTTCTATATATTATGTATGTATATCTGGCAATTCTAGTTCAGAGCACAATGATGATGAAGAAGCTTCTGATATGGTGTCAACAATTAGCAGAGGAACGGAATTCTGGCCTGCCAAGGCGATCTATGGAAACTTGGTACTGAGGACTGTCAGTGCTTGGAACCTTGGTGATGATAATGGCTGGTTTGTAAGTTTTTGTTCTTTTTCACGCTGTTGAGATATAGGTAGATGGAAATTGCTCGTATTATCATGATGATTTCTAGATTACAGAATTAATTGGTGAAAAACCATCATAACTACGCTTATAGATCGAATTTGTTCATGGATTCCTTGGCTAGTGCCTTTTTGTAAATGGCCCTCTTACTTGGTAAGTATGTAATGTTAAATGGAGTCACCAAGCACGCGTAGTAAAGTTTCATAGTCATCACGGTAAAAGAAATATCTCGAAGCGGTAATGTTTCAGTAAAAAATTCCAGAGCCGTGATTTATCTATATACGAGTACCATTCATTGATAAATCTAGCATAAAAAAAATCTTCCATTCTAACACCCCCCTTTTTTTCCTCGCAAGAACCAATCGCCGAACCTAGGGTTTCGATGGCATATCTTCCGCCGGAAATCCTCGAGCAAATACTGATAAGATTGAAGGTGAGGGATCTGATCCGATGCAAATCTGTGTGCAAGTCTTGGTTATCTTTGATCTCTGACCCTTGTTTTATCAAGGCCCATCTAAAGCATAGCTATGAGCGTGATCGCAATGATGAAAAAATTGGAGAAAGGAGAATTGTTATGTCTAAATATCGCGGTTTCAATATCTATGAAACGTTTGATGTTGATGAAGGGTTGTATGACTTTTATAAGCTCCATATGCTCGGATCTTCTGATGGTCTGGTATGCGTCTCCCCTTCCGATAATGAAGTTCTAGTAGTTAATCCTTCAACTAGAGAAGTTAAAAAACTAACTACTCCCCAAATTCCTGAACCCGGACATCTGTGCTGGGGATTTGGTTATGATGCATCCACAGATGATTACAAGGTTGTATTAGGGTCTATGATACGTGAGAAACTAACGTATTTTCAAGTGTTTAGTTTGAGATCTAATACGTGGAAGGTTATTGGATGGATAGATTATATTTTCCTAAGTAGGATGGGTATCTTATGCGAGGGGGCGCTTCATTGGCTTGCATATCGCCCTTCATCTGGAATTAAGTATGCAATTCTTTCTTTTAGTTTGTCCGAGGAGAAGTTTGTGGAAATCCCCCAACCTGTTGATGTGAGCTACCAGTCTCGTCTTGGTCAACAATCATGTATGCGTTTGGGGACTATCGAAGGTTGTTTATGCGCATTTCGATATGAAAATCTTCCAAATGACATATGGGTATTGAAGGGGAACAACGGGAAGCAGTCTTGGGAGATATTTAGATCTGAACGTGAGGTTAAGCGCGAAGTTGTGCACACCATAAAACAATTGAGGTATTACATTCCAAATAAAAATACTTTTTGCTATGAACCATATGTACTCCGAAGTGCAGTGTTTCTTGGGAGCTCTACATTTGTAGAAAGTCTGGTATCTCCCCATTTTCACAGGAGACCAAGGAGGAGGCAGGCAGCGAATACCATGAGGCGTTCTCGGGTAGGTTCTAATTGTTGTTATTACATTTTCCTTTTCATGTGCCTTACAGTGTAGCATTCATTCTGCCGTTTGATTCTTATCATTTTTTATGATGGCTAGTGTACGATTTTATAGTTTAGGCGTATAGGTGATCTGAAGTTCAGAATCATGTTTGTTAAACATAAAACAGTCGCACTAGATTAGAGAGAGCATTCCATTGGTCAAATTTTGCTAGGCTGTTTGGATGGTTTTCCATCAAGTCCTGTATGCATAAAGATGTCTGTGTGCATTGAGATGTCTGTGTGCATTGATCTGTCTGTATGGATTTAGAAGGTTTTTGTTTGGGAGGGTTTTTTCATAGATGGAATAAACATGTCTTTTAATTGGAGGGGGATGTTTAGAAAAAAAAACTTGGTTTTCTGCATAAAGCTGCCTCTAAAAGCTTATTGAATAAACCACTTTCTATATCGTTAAGCCACTACCAAACAGTCATATATAGCTGACCGAATAAGCTGCGAGTCCCATTAAGCCTGTTAGCAAACAAGATCTAAGTTTTGTTTGGTTCAATGGTATAAGTATACCTTTTTCTCCCGTTAGGTTGTGAATTCAAGTCTTTCTAGAGACTTCAATGTATCGGTTTGTTGACCATTCAAAAAATTCATCTTTCTTGTTCACTGTCTTGATATTTTCTTTATTTTGGAAAGGCGTTTTGTCCATGTCTGAATTCAGTGGTGCAGGAAGCCTGCAAAAGGTGAAACATAAACTTATGATCTTTTAATGATCCTCGTGAATTGTATACGCTCTTAGGAACTAATTGTGTAACTTATAGCATACTTTTGATTATTAGTTCTTGAAATAGCAGCTTTCAAGTTCATTAGTAATGAAGATTATCCTTTTTTGCAAGTCGGGGGTCTTCTAGGAAACAGTCTCTCTGTCTATTGAGACACAAGTATATATAGCTGACCAAATAAGCTGCGATTCCCATTAAGCCTGTTAGCAAACAGTCTCCCACCCTCAGCCCTAGTTCCCTACCTCCGAGTGTGATATAATGGGTCTATTTCGTTTGGAACAAACAATTGTTTTCACTTTTGAGGGAATTAAAGACGACATTTAGGTTGTAGCTCTTTGATTGCCCTCATATATTATTCATCTGTTTAATATTTATCATTGCAATTGTATCAGTTGCTATTTTTCTTTTTCTTTTTTTCCTTACTCCACCCTCACTATCTCTCTCTCTCTCTCATCAATGTACTCGCTCTTTGGTTCTACTTTAACCATAAATTGGGACTTCATTCACTTGTATCTTTCTCTCATACAAGTCCTATATGGATATAGTTGTCTGTGTGGATTAATCTATCTGTATAGATTGAGAAGGTTTTTGTTTGAGAGGGTTTTTTCATGTCATAGATGGATGGAGCCTGTTTTTTGATTGGGAGCAGCAAGTTCAGAAAAAACTTGGCAATCTGCATAAAGCTCACCCTTATAAGCATACTGAATAAGCCACCTTCTATTTCATTAAGCCACTACCAAACAGTTATATATAGCTGACCGAATAAGCTGTGAGTTCCATTAAGCTTATGAAGTTGCTAACAAACACATCCTCACCTAGTGCTTCTATGAAATTGGGCATACACTCTCACCTGTAGTTTGATTTTTTCATTTCTTTTACTTTTTTTTTTACAAGTTGGTGGTGTTTATGTGGTAGAAGAAAAGTCTGCATACATCTTACTATCCTAGGTTTTCTCACATGTATCTGTGTGTGAGATTTAATGGGGTTTTTTTGTTTGGTTTATTGCATACACTCACTTTCTTGTTCTAATCTCTCAGGTGAATTCAAATAATTACGGGTATGATGTTCCCCCTGCCGATGACGGTTCCATTTCTGGTGCCGGTGCACAGAGTTCGATGATGTAGAAGCTGTCAAGTTGACAGAGCCTTGCCATGTTAACCTTCCTTGCTGCTTTTGAAAACCCTTGCTCTTGGTTTTTGTGTGTTTAAAGATTTTCAAAGTGTGTTATAAAGATTGTTACTTTGTTGAACCCTTGTGTTTGTGCTTGATGGTATTAAGCCCTTTGCTTTAAAGATTATGATTTATGGTGTTAAAAGTGCTTTAGTTATCATAAATTCAGTTTTAACCATCTTGTGTGCAGTTTCAGCAAATGCTTTTTTTTTATAAACCTGGATATCCAATCCGCTATGTGAGCCGACTAATCTCAGGGCGACGACCCGCTTCTCGGGTAGCCCAAAGTCACCGTATTTGAATCTCCGTGGGCACAAGGGGATTTTTATTACCCATTGGATTCGAACCCAGGACATTCAGACACTTTTGACCTTTGGAGTTCAAGTTCAAACCAATCGGACACCACTCTTGTGGTTAGTTTCAACAAATATTGAAATCTTGGTAAGCTTCTTTTCCTTGGTATGTCAAACTAAATCTACACGCAATAACAGGTTATTCAAGAGAATAATCTTCTGACAAATTATCTTTTAAATGTTTAATATATTGACCACTTTGAGTTCACAAAAGGGCGAGACGACTTCGCCCAAATACAACACAAATAGGGCTTGCTAGCCTCTCATGAACCCCAAAATTCCCCTCACATTAGTGTCCTTGAAGGTGGGTTCCATGTGGAGCCGGTATGGGCTGCCCGTAATCAACTTTTTGTCCAAACTTTGAGTCATTCTTATACCAGGAAAGACGTACTTTATACAGAGGCATTCTTAAACTTATTAGAAGGTGATGTATTTAAATTATCCCGTTAAAAAGAGATTCATCACAAGTGAACCTCCATTACTACAAGTGCTTTGGCAGTGTCTGGATTTGAATCCAAAGTAGATGAGATTTTCTACCCATCCCCTTGAGGTTTTGAGACTTAACCAGTATGTCACATTTTTTTTGTCTTTAATACATAAATACATAAATCTTGGGGAGATTTATCATTAATGCATATGCTTTTATTGAGATGTCATATCCTGATTCTTGATTGCCATTTAATTCTAGATTGATGAAGTTGTCTTTTTATGCATCTTGTAGTTTCCCTTTTGTGGTTGATATGATTACCGGGATCCCATCCCGTCCCTGATCCCAATCTTCGTCTTCGTTCCTATCCCCGTCAAGAAATATGATCACATCCTTATTCCTGTTCTTGACAGGAAACGGGGATATCCAACGGGGAATCGAGGAATTTTTCCTGTTAATATAAGATATTTAAATTAAATATGTTAAACATCACACGCGGATCAATAATGGTCCATGTTTAAATCTCACATATTTTCAAATTTTGCTTTAATAGAGATTCATAAATTCATATGTGAAGAAATTCACAACATCATACATGATTGTTTGATCAAATGTTTTTGACTTTCAACGTTTTTTTATCTTAAAAAATAAGACAACTCAATGTGTGTGTGTGTGTTTTTATCGGATTCCCCAATGAGATGTTCTCATTCCTATGCCATATACGATTGTATTTGATAGGATGATCAAAAGACAAAATGACACTTTTGCCCTCATCCCAACCTACTGTTGATTCATGATATAACTCTTCTTGGCTCATTACTTTTTTTTTTTTTTGACATATTTTGTGGGCCGTTTAAGATTACATACTCTGTTTGTCAAAAAAATCGTAAAGAAGAAACGTATGCTCGGTGTATTTATGGAAACAACTTCTCTATCCTTTGGGTATATTTTATCCAATTTCTAAATGATATGATGACGAGGTCGATCTTTAAGCCTTTCACGTCGTCGCAAGGACACAATGTTTTTCAAGTCGTGATATAAGACGGTAAATTTATGTCATATATATAATTATATACAGGGTCAGATTCAAGGGAAAACCCAAAAGAAAATATAAAACTGAGAAACACGCTGGATCCGGTTCATGTGAAAGATATGCACATGTGCATACAAGTAATTTGTCCGGTATAAACTTTTGTATAACATGTACATATGCATAAAAAACAATAAACAATTTAAATTACTTGTATGCAATTTTCATTTTTTTAGAGGTTCCCTTTAACCCCCTCCCCCTCTACACACACACACACACACACATATATATATATATATATATATAGAGAGAGAGAGAGAGAGAGAGATAGGTTCAAACGCGAATGCATCCACTTTACAAAAACGCGAGAACACCATTTATCACATGTGATAGTACACATGAGCGGACCAGGTGGTGAGCGAAACGACTTGTCCTGCAACTTAGGTCGTGCTAAAAGTCGTTTGCTTTTATGATTTAGTATTACATATGATGGTCTTGGTATATTATAGTATCACATCAAAAACACTCTTATCACTATGATAATACATGTGAAGGAGCTTAGTGGTGTAAGGACGACTTGGCCCACAACCAAAATCATACCAACAGTCGTTCTCATCTTTGATTTAGTATCACATGTATATAATTTATGATGAAATAATAGTACCATATTTGATTGTTTTATATATATATATATAGAGAGAGAGAGAGAGAGAGAGAGAGAGTTGGGTTCACGTGAACTAGAATGTTTTCGTGAGACCCGTGTGACCACAAAATAACACTGAAACTTCACAGCAGAACTTTGTGAAGATAAAGAAACTTCGAACCTTCACAATATTTTGCAATTAATGTTTATTGTTATTTAGGTGGTTTTATGGGTTTCATGAAAACAATTTGGTCTCAGATGATCTGAATGCGTGTGTGTATATGTATATATTAGTATTATATAAAGGATTCGTAATCAAATATTAAAAAATATAATCTAAAGGGTTTTTTACAACATTGTTTTAACCATTAGTCTATGAAGTTTGTAAATTGATAAAATCACAAGTGATTTGATTAATAAATATTTAAAAAAATAAAATTTTAAATTAAAAGAATATAAAATACACAAAAAATAAATTATAAAAAAAATAAAGAAAAAAGTCACGCTTTGTAAAATAACGCACGTAATGACTATAATTTAGGAGCCTTTTATCGAATGCAACAATTTACTGGGTAAGCGTTCATTTGGGTAAGAGTTGTCATCTTTATTCACCGAGTAAGACTCTCCATCATTTTCATCACTCTTACCCGATAAGATTCTTGACTTTCTCATGTTTATCCAATAAAAAAATTTATACGTGTAATAAACAGCCCCATAATATGTTATGACGTGAATCACGCCTTACATAAGTGCTATAAATCTTTGGTAACAATGAAAATACGTTGCAGATTAATTTCTTGATTCTTCAATACAAGTTCGTCATCTTGCGTTTGTAGTCCAACGGTTAGGATAATTGCCTTCCAAGCAATAGACCCGGGTTCGACTCCCGGCAAACGCATTTTTCATACACTTTTTGCCTTTTTTTTTTCAACAAATTCCATCGCCATGGATTGTTTTTGCTGGTACAGTTTATTTTGTATTTCAATTTTTCTTCAAGGAAGCGTTTGACAACGTGGTATGTGGGTTTTTTTTGGATATGGTTTGGGTGGAAGAAATAGTGTTAGTTTCGTGTCTCCGGCAGCGGTTTCCATTATCTTGGGATACAGGTCAGTAGTTTCAAACACCATTTACGGTCGAAATCTGATTTTCAGTAATCACAAAAAATTAGTTTGATGTTATGTTGATCCAGATTTTGTATGTTATGGGTGCCATTGATGAACTGCAGGACAAGTGTTTGATGAAAATCCCCACTCACTTACTTTGGATATGCTCTACTCTGGCTGTCTTCCGTAGCTTTATATAAGTTAAGTTGTCTTAATTCTGCCTAATCATCTCTACATATTCTGCTGAATATTGTTATTATTTGTTTCATGTATGGAATGTTGGAGAATTTGTTAGTGATATTGAAGATTACCTATAAATAGGCGATGAAACCTAAGGAAGAGGCTAAGAGAAAGATTCGTTGAGTAAGGAAACACTAAGGGAGGCAAAAGCATATCTTCTTATTTGGTGATAATAAACTAAAAAATAAACTCCCACAGAATCGAGTTACTCTTCCTAGACTCTCCCTTCATTCGAATTTGAAGAACCCATGTTTGCCCAAAATCTTCATGGTTCTAACTGATCAAGGTCTTGGTGAACAGATCTGCAATATGTAGATCAGTCCTGCATCCTTAGACTGAACTTCTTTTTTGATTTGTGACTCACGATTTTAAGATGATGCTTAATTTCTACATGGTTAGTTCTGCTATGAAAGACTGGATGTTTTATAAAACATTATAGCAATGTCACAGTAAAGAACAGTTGATTCATTTTGCTCTTGACCCAAGTCACCTAGAACCCTCCTTAACCAAATTGCTGACATGCAGCAACATTCACCACCACATAATCAGCCTCTATAGATGGAGGAGCAACTGTGGCTTGCCTTTTTGAACTACGGGAATTAATAATTGACCCGAGAATAAAGCAATTTCCAGAGGACCTCATTTGTGTCTAACAATAGCATAGGTGGGTTCTTCTAAATTGTGTCTAACATCTTCCTAATCATCTCTAAACATCCAAGTGAGGTCTATTTTATTCTGTTTCATGTATGGGTAATTAACAGAGACTTACTGACCTCACTTTGTGACTTCGGTTCATGCTTACAACCATGAATACATTTGGTTATATAGTATCTGTTTGATTGTGTTTATCTATGTGATGGATAATCTTCACTAATATAGACAACGTTCCGAGTTATCAACACCATTTGTATTCAAATTTTGACTTCCAGCTTTGAGTGTTATGCACAAATTTAGCTTGATGTTGTCTTCAACCATCTTGTAGTGTTATAGTGTGATTGGTTAACTGCTGAACAAGTGCATTAAAAAAGTCAATACCCACCTTGCATAATTGTCTCCAGCTATGATTCATAGCTTTATATGAGCTAATTATTATTTAAGAAGAAGATCCCAGGTGGGCTATATGTTATTTCGTCAAATTTCTTCCTATTCATCTTTAAATATCTAGTTGAATTTTAGTTCCTCTATTTAAGTATGGGTGATGTAACACGGACATGTTTAGAAAATGTAGCGAAGTGACTGAACCCCTCTTTATGATTTCTGAATATTCTTACAACCATGAATGCCTGGAATATTCATTTAGGCCGAATGGCTGTTTGCTTATGCTCCGATTAGTATGTTGCTAATTGTGTGGTCTCCTCGTCAGTTAAGAAGTAAAGAAACATTTGAGATCTGTGAAGCACTTACATAGCTTAAATCAGGGGTTATTTACTACCTGCTTACTGCCTCTTACCGGGTAAGAAGCGCTTACCTTGTCAGAGATGCTGCTGTTTATGAAGCCCCACTTACCGGTCCATGATGCTGACCGAGATGCTGACCTGGTAAGCTAAGAGAAGGACTCGTACTTGGTAAGTGATTAATGCTGACGCTGACCGCATTCTTACCCAAGTTGGGTTAGTAAATGGCCCCTAACATAAGTAAGCCAAATGATCAATTCTATTTGATTATGTGATGGCCAATCTGTTTTAATGGTCAATAGCCTTGTGTTTCTTTTGATTTGATTTTTGTGCTTATTTGTTGCTTGTATGATTCGACATCAATGTAAAATGCTAAATTGCTAAGCTTTGTCCTTTCGATTATGTGATGCTTATGTGTTCTATTATAGTTTTGTGTGACTTGCCTCATTTAGAACAAAGTCCCATTTAATTTCCCAGGAGGGATCAGCTTCATCCTCTTTCACTGTTGGAGGATTTAAAACAGGTCTGAACACCGCACTCCTCTATGCCTTGTTTTGTTGTATCAAGTGATGCATATATAATATCTCCTTAAATCAGTTTTTCTTCTTTCAGGTTCTTATGGAATTTGAAGGTTATTGAAAGAGGCTATAACAAGGTGTGGCTCACAAAAGGTGACAACTTTACTCCTTTCTAAAGATAACACTCTTTTTTGCTGCTTCACATCCTTGTGGTTCCTTTGAATCCCATGTCAAGGCCTCGGTCACTACTATCTTTGATCCGTAACCATTTTGAACTCCAAAAAGGTACACTGCCAACAACAATAAAAGCAACAGGTCTATTCTCTCAACTCTGCATCACTGCGTGTATCTTACTTAAGCTGCAGAAGACAAGTGAAGACTCTAAAAGTTCTGCATCCACTTCCTTGGCCATCAAACCTCAAGACGTTCCTCAGATTTCTTCTTATTACAGCCCCTTTTAAAGTTGATTAACTTTGGCTATGATCTTTGGTCTTACCGCAATTCTGGGCGCACTATTGCAATTAGCATCCAAATTCAAGACTGTTGACATCTTTCATGACTATGCACTCGTGCTGGTGTCAGGGACATTGATCTGACCAGGTTCACCCCGTATTCCTGAAGTTTAACCTCTTTGGCTGGTAGCAGGCAGTCCTCTAAATTTTAGATTTGGCAGGTCAATATGAGAAGTGTCATGATAAATGATGTGTCCTCCTGCTGGGAAAAGGTGGTGCAAAAGAATCTATCAGGGCAAAGAGAAGGACCTTGATGTGGTAATAGGAGATGTCAAGGACGATGCTTAATAGGTTGATGCTCACGAGTAAAATTGCACATCTAAAAAATGAGTTTGGGTTTGCCAAACAAGTTGAAAGTTATACTGGTGGGAACCCAGAACTGGTCTATTCAAGTTTGAAGGATCAGTTGTTCTGGGTTTATCCTGTGGAGGGATATGATGACAAGGATGTAGTTTTAAACAAGGATGAATTATCCATATTTGGTTTTGATAGGAAGGAAGAAGGTTGAGTCCAGAAAGAAGGCAAGCCATTAACTGCGATTTCAAATATGGAAATGAAGTAATTATCAAAGATCATGATGATCTTGATGAGACTAATAAACTTACTGTTTTATGATTTGTTTCAGTCTGACTAGTCCAGAGCACAATGATTATGAAGAAGCTTCTGATATGGAGTCATTGCGATTAGCAAAGGAACGGAATTCTGGCCTGCCAAAGGCAATTTATGGAAACTTGGTACTGAGGACTGTCAATGCTTCAAACCTTGGTGATGATACTGGGTGGTTTGTAAGTGTATATTCTTTTTTCTTGCTGTTGAGATATAGGTAGATGGAACCTGCTCGTATTATTTTGACGGTGTCTAGATTATAGAATCAATTGGTGAGAAACGATCATAAATATGCTTGTAGATCGAATATGTACATGGATTCTTTGGCTAGTTCCTTTTTGTAGTTGGCCCCCTTGGTAAGTATGCAATGTTAATTGGAGCCACTAAGCAGTAAAGTTTCAAAGTCATCACGGTAAACGAAATATCTCGAAGCAGTAATGTCCCAGTAAAAACTTTAGGAACCATTTTGTCTATATATGACTGCCGATTACTAGATTCATTCATAAATCTAGCATCAAACGAGATCTTTCATTCTAGGGCACACACCCCTTTTTTCCTCCAAGACCCTGCCACCAAACCTAGGGTTCCAATGGCACATCTTCTGCCGGAAATCGTCGAGCAGATACTGATAAGATTGAAGGTGAGGGATCTGATCCGATGCAAGAGTGTGTCCAAGTCTTGGCATTCTCTGATCTCGGACCCTCGTTTCATAAAGGCCCATCTCAAGCATTCTTATGAAAGTGATCGCAATAATGAAGAAATTGGGGACAGGAGAATCGTTATGTCTAAATATGCCTGTTTCTATACGTATCAACAGTTTGAAGTTGATGGCAAGCTCTTCGACTTCCATGATTGCCATCTACTCGGTTCTTCTGATGGTCTGGTATGCGTCTCCCCTTCCCGTAATGAAATTGTAGTAGTTAATCCTTCTATTAGAGAGGTAAAAACACTCAGCAATCCCAAAATTCCTAAATTTGGATCTTTGTGCTGGGGATTTGGTTATGATGCATCTACAGATGACTACAAAGTTGTATTAGGGTTTATGAAAGGTGAAAACGTCACCTGTTTTCAAGTGTTTAGTTTGAGATCTAATATGTGGAAGGTTATTGGAGAGATAAATTGTACTTTTCTAAGTAGGATTGGTATCTTATGCGAGGGGGCGCTTCATTGGGTTGTATATCATGCTTCATCTAAAAAGAAGAATGTAATTCTTTCTTTTAATTTATCCGAGGAGAAGTTTGCGGAAGTGCCCCAACCTGATGATGTGAGTTACTGGTCTCGTGTTTCTGACCACCCATCTATGCGTTTGGGGACTATCAACGGTTGTCTATGTTCATTTCAATATGAAAACCTTCCCAATGATTTATGGATGATGAAGAACTACAATGTGAAGCAATCTTGGGGGATATTTGGACCTGAACGTGTGATAAAGTACGAAGCTGTGCACGGCATAAAACGATTGAAGAACTACATTCCAAATCAGAGGCCTTTGTGTCATGAACCGTGGTTGGTCCGGAGTCGGGTTTTTTTGGGAAACCCTATATATGTAGAAAGTCTTGTATCTCCCCATTTTCACAGGAGACTGAGGAGAAGGAGGCCGGCAGAGGATACCACAAGGAGTGCTCGGGTATCTTCTAATTGAGTTATTTCATTTTCCTTTTCATGTGCATTGTAGTATGCATCCATTCTAAACAATTGCTGCAGGTATTGACTTCATTGGGAATGCGTTATATTTATATATATATATATATATATATATATATATATATTCACACAAGGCTTTCATCTTTATAGTGTTAGGACTTGTTCTATGAATCCTTGATACAAACATCTTAAATCTATTTGTCTAAAGAGTAGTGAATGAGAAAGAAAAGATAACGAATTTTGAACCGCTAAGGAGAAAAGGATAAAATAAGCCAGTTCTATCCATACTCGATATACATAAAATGGTGATCATGTATTCATGTCACCACAGTGGGTGAAAGGTGTTCTATTTGATATCCACCTTAATACAACCATATATTTCCTGATTATTGTTGACCCCACTTGTAAATCTGCTAATTTTGTAGATATACAGCAGCATTATATTTCGTATTTCTTCACTTGCTAATATTAGGATAGATACACACCTCTTCAATTCTCTTGGACGTTAATCTTTAGTCTAGTGGCATAGTGCGTATAAGTGATCCGAATTTCATATGATACTTGTATATTTGCTATACTAATCTTCTTCATATGATACTTGTATATTTGCTAAGTTGTGTTTGGTCCAATGGTATCGGTGGATCTTTACAACCGTCAGGTTGTAAGTTCAAGTCTCTTTAGAGACATCAATGTATTGGTTTGTTGACTGTTTGAAAAAAAAATATCATCTTTTTTGCTCACTGTCTAGTTATTTTCTTGATTCTGGAAATGATTTTATCCCTGTCTAAATTCAGTGATGTAGGAAGCCTGGAAAAGGTGAAGCACAAACTTCTTATGAATCTTTTAATGATCTTCATGAACTGTATAAGTCATGGGAACTGATTGTGTAACCATTTTCTTTAGATATTTTGCATCTATTGATCATCGGAATTGTGTCAGCAAGCCCTCTTTTGGTGACCTTTTAGTTGCAATTTTTTTCTCCCTCCACCCCCTTTCTCATTAATGTACTCGCTCTTTGGTTCTAAAAATCAAACCAAATGAGACAAAACGAACACAGTATATCCCATCTCGAGGTGGGTCTCAGGTGATGTGCGCAGAGCTGTCCTCTACCCCAGATAGTAGACTATTCACATGAAGACCCCCGGCTTGCAAAAGTGTGTGCAAAGGCTGAAAATTAGAAAAAAGAAGTGAATCACGGGAAAAAGGTTTAAAGGCTAGAAACTAAAATTGAAATGGAGTAAAAGTAAGCGAGCACCAAAGAATCAAAAGTAGGTAAAGAGGAACATAACGAAGGTAAGACAACGAACCGTCCCCTAGTCTAAGGGGTTGTTTGGCTGGTTTTCTATTAAATCATGTATGGATGAAGATGTTTGTGTGGGTTAAACTTTCTTTATAGATTGAGAAGGTTTTTGTGTGGGAGGGTTTTCCCATAGATGGAATAACATGTTTTTTAATTGGGAGGGGAGGGGAGGGGAGGGTTTAGAAAAAAACTTAGCTTTCTACATAAAGCTCCCCCTCCCCCCCCCCCNTTTCTCATAGATGGAAGGAACATGTTCTTTAATTGGGAGGAACAGGTTTGAAAAAAGAATTTGGCTTTCTGCATATAGCCCCCAAAGAAGCTTACTGAATAAGCTACTTTCTATATCATTAAGCCACTACCAAACGATCATGTATAGCTGACCAAATAAGCTGCGAGTCCCATTAAACTCATTAAGCTGCTAACAAACAGACCCTAAATCAGGACTCTAGTAGCCTATCATCCCCTCTTTTGTTCTACTATAATCATAATTCGGGACTTCATTCGTTGGTATCTCTCTCTCTCTCTGCCGAAGGATCATGTGAGAATAGGAGTTAAAGGTGAGAAGTGTAAGAAGGGATTTGGATCCTTGATCACTTTTAATCTCAATCCAACCCATGAATTGTGCTTTAGAAGGGAATTGATCCGGTGATCTCGTTAGTGTTGATCTAGTGGAACTATTCAATTAGGATTGATCCAAAGGGAAGATCCCTTCTTACCCTTCTCACCATAACTCTCATTCTCACCGGAACAGAACCCCTCTCTCTCATACAGTTATAAACACTATTTACTGCTTGCTTCTACTATAATATTGGGAGTACACTCACTTCTTGTTCTAATCTCTCAGGTCTATCCAAATAATGTTATTATAGCACTGTATGCTGTTCCCCGTGCCCAACCCAGTACGGATGAGGGTACCAGCTCTGGTTCCAGTACCCGTGCTGAAGCGAGTGGCAATGCAGGTCCCAGTACGGGTGCCAGAGTTTGATGCGGTCAAGTTGACATAGCCTTACCAGCTCATGATCTCAACCTTCCTTGCTGTTTTAAGACTGGTTTTTTTAAAAACCCTTGTTCTTCTTTTCAGTGTGTTTTGTGCTTGAAGATTTTCTAAACTCTGTTCTAGAGATCATTACTTTGTTGGAGCTTTATGTCATGCTTGATGATATTGGATATGTTTTAAAGACTAAATTGTGGTGTGAAAGGTGCTTTTGATATTGTTTCCATATTCTTAACCATCTTGTGTTAGCTTTCAGCAAATGTCGAAATCTTGGCCATCTTCATTTCCCTGGTATGTTATACTCAGAGTTGTTTGGTTGATTTTCCTTTTAAGTTCTGTATTGATAAAGTTGTATGTGTGGATTATTATTTCTGTATAGATTGGGAAGGTTTTTTGTTTGGGAGAGTTTTTTCATAGATGGAAGGAGCGTGTTTTTTTTAATTGGGAGGGGTAGGTCTGGAAAAGACTTGGCCTTCTGCATAAAGTTCTCCCTTAGAAACTTACTGAATAAGTCATTTTCTATATCATTAAGCCACTATCGAACAATCATGTATAGTTGATCGAATAAGCTGTGAGTCCCATTAAGCTTATTAAGCTGCTAACAAATAGAACCTCACTCTACACCCTATCTTGATTCTTGATAAAATGCATATGCTTTTATTCAAGATTTTTCTTTATGATGTGTTTGTTCAAATCTCGTTTTTATTATTGATGCATATTATTGCTATAAATCTTAGAGTAAATTACGTTTTTTTGTCCATGTGGTTTGTTAAAAAGTGTGATTTTTGTCCCTGTGGTTTAGAAATTGTGGTTTTCGTCCCTATGGTTTGTAATTCATTGCTATTTTTGTCCTTATGATTTACAATGGTCCACGTGGTTTACAACTGGTTTGATCCCTTGTACTTTAAAGGTAGGAATTAATCCAAGAACGAAAATAGCAATAAATTGTAAACCATAGAAACAAAAATCGCAACTTCTAAACTATTAGGGATGGAAATTGAAAATATTAACAAACTACAGGGTGAAAAATTGTAATTTACTCAAAATCTTATATGTGATCTGCTCATTTTCTTATGGTTATCTGATTCTTGATTGCCATTTAATTCTAGACTCTTGTACATTTTGTAATTCTCCATTTATGGTTTATATGATTGAACTTAATGGGATGATCAACACAAAATGACACTTTTGCCCTCATTCCAACCTAGTGGATAAAGTATTTATGGGTATTTATGGAAGAGAAAATATATTCCATTTGGGATTTACTGAACTTGTTTCGTCTAATAACAAATTTGTTATGAGTTAAGCATGAGACATAACATATTTCATGATTTGATCTGTTTTGATATAAGAAAAATGATTGTGTGAGAAGAGAAGTTATTGTGAGAAGCGTGTGAAGAGATCTAGCCCTTGATCACTTTTAATTTCATACATACTCATTAATTGCGTTTTAGAAGGAAATTGATTCGGTGCATTTTGTTGTATCTCATTAGTGTTTAGATTCAAAATTATGATTGATTCAATGATGGAGATATCTTCTTACACTTCTCGCCATAATTTTTCTTCTTATCGGAACCTTACCCTTGATATAGTTGATCGTATTGATCTTCCTTAGATTGGCACTCAGTTTTCCATGAAATTACAAAATTGCTACCGTGATTTTTAGGTATTTGATATGATCTAAAGGATAAAAATTGTTTTCATAGTTTTTATGGAAAATGGATATTCTTTCCATCAACTTGATGAGTTATAATTTCTCTATCAGATAAGTCACCGTTTATGTATATTTTTTATACTAAGTTGTAGCAGTGATGGCCAAAAACCGGGCCGGGCCGGTCCTTATCTGTCCTGGCCCTCAACAAATCTGGACATAACTGGTTTCGGTTAAAAAAGGTGAGCCCGGTTAAGCTTTATTGTAACCGGTTACGGGCCGCCGGTCCCGGTCTTGGTCATTAAGAAATAATATTCTTAATTTTTTTTAATGATATATATTTTTAATATATTATAAAATTTATAATTGGGTCACTCATATACACTTTAAAAATGCGTTTTTTATAATTAAAATTATATTGTCTCACAAAATATAACGAGAAAACGAGAATTATGAACGTTTTTTTTTTTTTTTTGTGTTTTTTGCAAATTGAGAACTTGATATATAAACCCCTCAACCAAGACATTTATATATAGCATTTAGAAGGCAAAAAATACAAAAAAAATGCCCAAAAGAGTCATAAATGATTAGTTTTTTTGAAAATAACGGCTACATTTATTAAAAGCTACATATTTGAAAAATCGGGCCGGGCCGGGCCGGGCCATAAATGATCCTGCAAAACACCCAAAATGCATAACCGGTCCTAGATTTTGGTCCTATAACCGATCCGTACCGGTCCTTGGCCAGTTCCAATTCCGGTCCTCTGGTGGGCTCGGACCGTGCAAGACCGGTTTGACCATCACTAAGTTGTAGCATAGTCTACTTTCTTTAAACAAGCAATTAAACATCTAAAGGTGAATTTTAGGACTCATCTTGTTTATTTGTGTTGGTACGTATTTTTATGATATTTGGCTCAACTCAAGCAAATATTCGGGATTGGTCTATTTTTCTTGGCAACACCGTTGTTTTGAGACAAAAGAGCTTTTCAGTGAACCCTTATTGGGTGTCGGTTATCTTACTGAGTGAACATGATAAGAACCAACAATCTTACCCGGTAAGAGGGACAACAAGAATCAAGACTCTTATCCGGTAAACATTTACCAGGTAAAAGACTCTCGCCAACAATCCATTTTAATGGCTGAGAATGTCGTTTGATTAGGTAAATGAGAGTGATGACTTTTATCCATAAGCATTTACCCGTTAAGTGTTTACATTGTTACATATTTTATAAAATCCTTAGTAATTGATGAATTGTGGCATATCTCATCATTTTATCTTTAATAAATAATATCGATACATAATGGGGAATCTAAGATAGAGAGATTATTGCCCTTGACCTTCCGGTATACTGGGCAGACGTCAGCCTCCATACATAGTCTTACGACTTTACAGAAACCTGTGTTTTTGGTAAACAGTTGTCTGGGCCTAGTCACTGCAACCCCCTTTACGGATTAATAAAATAAAAAGAAATTGATGAACTATTCCCAAAGGTGCGAGCTAAAAAAAAGTATAAAACCACAAGGGGGGTGTCTGATTGGTTTGAGCTTGGGTTCCAAAGATCAAAAGTGTCTGGAGGTCTCATGTTTGAATCCATGGAGAAATAAAAATCCCCTTGTGACCATGGAGGTTCAAGTGCGATGACTCTGGGTTACCCGCGAAGTGGGTGGTCGTCATGGGATTAGTCAGCTCACATAGCAGGTTGGATATCCAGGTTAACCAACTAGGGCTCCACATGAGTTAGGTTGGTTGGGTTGAAGGCGTTTGAACAACCTAACTCAAGCTTTGCAGTTCGGAAAATCTCAACCCAACCCAAATAAAACCAGGTCGGGTTGGATTGAGTTGTCCGTGTTGAAACTTTGATACATCATTTTACAATCTAGTTAATCATTTTATTTAAATGAAATAAAATCAAAATAAGATCATACAGAAAATGCTAATAAACTCAAAAAACTAGTTGAAATTTCATGCAAATAAGAAAGTAAATTACAGTTGAAATTGTAATATAATTTTTGAATATAGCTAATTTGCGGTTGGTCTAATGTCTAATTTACATATATTAATTAAGGACTTAACAATCATATTAAATATGTAGTATAAAAAGACATCAGGTTGAGTTCAAATTACCCTAACTCAATTTCAACCTAATAGATATGATTAGGGGTGAGCAGTGGAACCGGGTACCCGGTTATGGAACCGGAACCGCATTGGAACCGCCGGTTCCGGAACCAGAACCGATATGAGTGGTTCCGGTTCCGGTTCCTAAAATACGGAACCGATTGAGAATGGTTCCGGTTCCGATTCTCAATTTTTTGGAACCGTTACCTTCCGGGTACCCGGTATTTTTCAATAAAAAATTATTATTATTTTTTAATACCAAATTTATATTAGGTTTACATCTTGAAAGCATGCCGTCATTTTCATTCTTCATATAGAATGATTCGTATTTTTTCAAATTGTGTGTTCACTTGGATTCATAGTATGTAATCGTTAAACTTTAAACATTTACCATTATAGTATGTAATCGTTAAACTTTAAAACATTTTCTATTAGTCTATTATGGTTTGTAATCGTGAAACAATATTTGTAACCATTATTTTATATAATTTGTATTCTTGCTTATTTATTTAGTGTTTTGGCAATGTTTTATTTTTTATTTCTAAATAACAAAATTTTAATATTTTAGGAAGCGGATCCCCGGAACCGGAACCGGAACCGGAACCGGTTTCCGACGGTTCCGGTTCCAAAAATTTAAGAACCGCTCTAACCGGTTCCGGTTCTGGTTCCAATATATCAATACTCTTTCAATTTGATCTAATTTTGTATCACTGGTTTCAATTTGTTACAAATACCTGTGAGCCAACCATTAATCACACACCATGCGTTTGTAGTCCAACGGTTAGGATAATTGCCTTCCAAGCAATAGACCCGGGTTCGACTCCCGGCAAACGCATTTTTCAACAGATTCCCTCGCCATGGATTGTTTTTGCAGGTTCAGTTTTTGTTCTTTTTTTGTACTTGGCTACGCTGCAAGGAATCGCTCATTATTGGGGATCTTTTGGATATTGTTTGGGTGGAAGAAATAAGGATAGTCTAGTGTCTCCGGCAGCGATTTCTATGCCTTTGTGATACCGGTTAGTAATTTCAGACACCATTTATGGTCAAAATCTGATTTTCAGTAATTAAGACTCGATATAAAGTTAGTTTGATGTTATGTTGATCCAGATTTTGTATGTTGTGGGTGCCATTGATGAACTGCACGACAAGTGTTTGATGAAAGTCCCCATTTACTCACTTCAGGTATGCTGTTATTCTGTCTAATCGTCTCTACATATTCTGTTGAACTTTTTGTAAGTTATATTCCGACACAAATCTACCGGGCATCACGAAAATTATTATCTCAATTTTGACAAAAATTGTTTCTTTTTAAACTTGGATAATCATAAAATACCTCCCCATTAAATGAAAATGATTGCTGAAGTAATTAATCAGTAGTTACAAACTGTTTACAGAAATGACAAAGACTTTAGAGCCAAAAGCTCTTGAAAGTCGCACATTCTTCAAGAAGGTCATTTTCCTTTATGAAATCTATAGAGACGCCGCCCCTAGGACTCTGTAAGGGGGCACGGCCCCCTTAACCTCCGTCATATGGTGCCGTCTAACGATCTTGGTTTTTAGTTAACTTACACGAATATGCGTCCCATGTAATGTTACCCTTAAATGGGTTTAATTTTGGGGATTGCTATATGCACTTCTTTGATGCTAAAGTCATGTCAAATCATAAATTGAGAATGTAAAACTTGAGTTTTTGTTGATGTATATTTGGAGGAAATTACTATTATACGGCGGTGCATTTAACGCACCCCTTAATTTTTACTATTAACACTAGCGTCGACTAAATGCACCCATATATAGTATATATTGCTAAAGGCGAATGATCGTTTAAGAAAGAGTGTTAAGGTGAGAACAGGGACAGACCCAGAAATTTTTTCAAACGGTGGCATCGTTTGACTATAAGAAACATATATACGGAATTTTTTTTCAATCGATGACACCATTTGACTAAGAAAATGACACTAACACGAGTCGAACTTAGGCCTGGGGTGAAATAAAAGCCTTGCAAACCAACTCTACCAAATAAAATATGTTCTCATTGTAGTTTCAGAATACATACGGTGACACACAACAGATTAATACGGTTGCACCTTTCACGAACCTAAATTTTTTTACACTTCGACGGAGGAATAATACGGTGGCACGTGCTACCATAACCACCACAGTAGGTCTGTCCATAGGTGAGAAGTGTAAGAAGGGATCCGGACCCATGATCACCTTTAATCTCAAACCCACCCATGAATTGTGCTTGATAATGGTATTGATCACCTTAATTCTCCTTCTCACTAGAACCCAACCTTATTACTAAATCCACCCATATATAATATATATTGCTAAATGCACCTCCGCCTACTAATTTCCTCCTCACACACACGTCGAAATCAAAACTTATTTTACATTCCCAATGATAATTTGACCTGATTCTGATATAAAAGGGTGCATGTAGCATTAGCCACTTACCCTTCAAGCCCAACGATATAGAGTCATATAACACTACATAAGCAAACATGTAGCGTTTGTAGTCCAACGGTTAGGATAATTGCCTTCCAAGCAATAGACCCGGGTTCGACTCCCGGCAAACGCATTTTTTATTCGCTTCGATTTTTATCGGTCGTTTAACGTATTACGGGTCTCATTTACTTGACGTAGATGTAAATCCTACAAGTATGTACATAAATACGGGTTCATTTGATGATCATTACAACATATTTCGATACGTTTGAATGCATCTAAAGTCGTTGATTTAGTTGTTCTTGCAGTTCTTCGATGATCGTGTTCTTCTCGGCTATAATCCTGTTGAGTTTTTCATTTTCTTCCCGAATCAACTCCAACTGACAAAATATAGTCGTTATCTGCACTTGAATGGCCTCATCGCTGAGCTCGAACGCGCTCTCAACGACCCTCAAAACCCGCCACAAGCTCACCACAACAATCAACCCGACCCCAATCCTTTCCATCAAAACCTCAGATAACAACGCTCCGATCAAAACCACACCATCGGCTACCAAACCGGGTCGTCTAAAAAATGAACTTCCGCACCCCACGACTAGTGCCACGCTCTTGGTAGCAAGAATCGCCAATATCCCAATTCCGACCCAGTGGTACCAAACATCTACGTTCTTGTTGATTCTCGTGCTTTTGGGACAAGAAACTAGAGTTTTCGAGAGTTCAAGAACCACCATGGCGAGATCAACGAGGAGCAATACGATGGCGATGACGTGAACCGGGGTCGATTCTAGGAAAGCGGTCAAGTGGGTTCTCCATGGAGGTTTCGAGTTGGAAGTTTGTTTGGTTGATCCTGAGAAAAACTCCCAATTTTGTCTTCTTTTGCAGCATTTGATGAGATTTTGGATGGATATTTGGATGGATATAATTGAAGTGGAGGGAGGTTGGATTTGAGATGAATCCATTGATGGAATGGAATTGTGGATGGAAGGTTGGATTTGAGATGAATCCAGTGATGGAATCGAGTTGTGGATGG